CAACCCTATAACGGCCCCATGATCCTTGCTTCCTAGTGTTTCACACCGGCTTTTGTACAATCCCTTCCCCTGGAGTGTGGGAGGGAGCTATACCTTGTTCTAACCAATAGAATACATCAAAGGTAATTACATGTGTGTAATTACATTATATGAGACTGCAATGTCCATCCTGCAAGGAGACACCCTCCCTTGCTGGTGTTGATAAAATAAGTGGCATGTTGGGGAGGCCTGCAAGAACTGGTAACCTCGGTCAACAAGTCACAAAAAGCAGAATACTGCCAACAACCATATAAACTTAAAAGCAAATCTTTCCATAGTAGAGGCACAGACTGGACTGTACCCTTGGCTAACTATCATGACTATACCCTTGTTGAGAGTCACCAAGTAACCTGCCAGGCTGTGCCCAACTGGTAACCCCAGTAATGAGGAAATAGTAAAGGTGTGTTGTTTAAGTCCTAACATTTGTAGTAATATTGCTGTGCAGCCATAGCTAACTACATAATCAACCTGAGATTGAGAAAAGTGGCCCCTCACATCTGAGAGATAGCCTGAAGATACAACCAGCAAGGTCTTGACGCTTCTCTGAGTTGGCCTGTATTTATAATCATGTTTTGGTGTTAAACATACACACTGATACTAGTACTCTATGGCTGTGTGCAAGGATCAAGACCAAAACAGGTTTGAACATGAACAAAACATAAACACTGCCCAAATCACAAAAATGGCCAAATATCCTCTGTACTGACTATTATGTACACACAGCTTTAAACTTGATTCATTCCATTCCCTCCATGTCTTAGAGATAAGATTTATTTAGATATTCATTCATAGGCTCACAACTCCTTTAGCATCCAACATAGAGCAAAGCTCTGCTTCCTTGAAGCCTCCCCCCAAATCTAACACAAGTCCATAGAAGGAAGGCCCTTCTAACCCCCTCTTACTGAGATGCCCCATGATTCCCATTGGTATGTGTTCTTCCTCTCTAACCCAACTTGTTCAACTGCAGGTATATTCCCAGCTCAACATACAGGCAAACAATAATAAGCAAAAAACCCAAATTATGCAGATAAGAACAAAAACACCAAACATGACTTTAGAATGTAGAATGTGCATAAAAAAGAAGCACAAATCAATAAAACAGGAGCCCATCTCAGTGCCTGTGGCTCAAGCGGCTAGGGCGCCAGCCACGTACACCTAAGGTGGCGGGTTCCAAACCCCAGCCCGGGCCCGCCAAGCAACAATGACAGCTGCAACCAAAAAATGGCGGGGCGTTGTGGCGGGCACCTGTGGTCCCAGGTACTTGGGAGGCAGAGGCAGGAGACTTGCTTGAGCCCAGGAGTTGGAGGTTGCTGTGAGCTGTGATGCCACGGCACTCTACCCAGGGGAACAGCTTGAGGCTCTGTCTCAAAAAAAAAAAAACAAAAAAAAACCAACAGGAGCCCATATACAGTTTAAATTAAGGATAAAACACAAAAATAAAATAAAGTTGTGTCTCAAAATGAGTATAAAGAAATTACTTGATAAGCAATATTAGGATATATTAACCTGAGATTTAAAAAAAAGATATCAGATGAAAATTAAAAGCAGGCATATCATAAAGTTTGGATGATCTATACCTGCCTTACACATCTACTGAAGAAACTAATCCACTGTCCATCATTTTGGAATAACTAAAATTTAATTATTATTTTTAGAAAAGGTGATGCCATAATTATTAAGTAGCAAAATTGAAAAATAAAGGTTTAAAAGTGGAATAAATCTAAAAAAGATAGTAGGATAAATGAACAACAATAGAAAACCTAGGACACAGACTTTAGACTAAATAAAAAATGAACTCTATAATGGTTAAACAATTAAACGTAATTAATAAGAGATTTGCTGAAATGTAATGGATTACTTGATCAGAGCCATGGAAATAAGAACAAAGGAAAAGACTGACCAGTTTAGGTACAAATTCCTTACATATAATGGAAAACAATGTAAAACTAAAATGAAGTACCCAAGAAATACTTGTATTACAGTGATAAAATATTTAAATCTAGAAATAGAAACTTTTTCAGATTTACAAGGAAAACATCACATGAGCAAAGTCTGTAACAGACAATTCACAGGAAAAAGTACAGTAAGCAAGCAGTCTTGTACTCACAACTGGAATTTACTAGCTATATGGTGTTGGACAAGTTACTTAACCTCTGTACCTTTTAATTGCATAGAACCATCTTCAATCTTCTCAGTGGTCCGAAGAAGTGACATTACATGGCAGTTATAGTAACAAATTAGACAAACGAATAATCAAAGCTGAAAGTGCAGGGGGCATGCTGGGTAATGCCCTGCATCACGGATAGCATTTTATACAGTTGCAATCTATTTGTAAAGCAACATAGAAGAGCTGTAACTCTGTCACCCGCCTCTTAGAAAATCTTTCAGCAGAAACCATCTGCTCATATTTCACAACAACACTATCTACAATGACAAACAAAATCAACTTAAAAGCCTAAGAAGAACAAGTCTTTAATAAATTGTGCTGCATTAACACACAGATTATATCGTTATTAAAATAAATGGAAAGCATTTAGGATATGACATGATAAAAAATGCAGATTATAAAAATGAAAATGAAGGTTATAATTAGCTGAAGAGCTATAATATACTAGGCACTATTCAAAACATTAGGGTGACATCATGTTTATCTTCACAACACCTATCAGAATAGTAACATTATTATCATTTTGTAAATGAAAATACTAGGGCAAAGAAAGGTTAAATAACTGGCTAACACCACATAGCTAGGAAATGGAGAAGACACACACAAATCTAGATCCAAGTCCAAACGCTGTGTTTTTAACCACTGCACTGTCCTGTCTTAGATATGCATGATGATTGCCACCGTACATAACTATGGGGATAAATATTTGCAAGATAATATGTTTGGGGACAAATATTCCAAGATAATATGTAAATATATAAAAACCATGATATGAGAAAAGAATTAAGGGAAATTTAATTTTATAAACCACTGGCTTTAATGCTATATGATCTATTTGAAGAAAATAATGCAGATAATCAATCAGCTGAAACCTTCTCCAATTCCCCATAAGAAGTTCAACTACAGCTATCCCTTGGTATACGTGGGTTAATGGTTCCAGGACTGCCTGCATATACCAAAATTTGCACAAACTAAAGTCCAGCCGTCAGGCCTACAGAATGCACATGTAAGAAAAGTCGGCCTTCGATATACATGTGTTTTGCATCCTACAAATACTGTAGTTTCCATGTGCATTTGTTAAAAAAAAAAAAGCCAGGTATACATGGATGTATTGCTCAAGGGTCAACTATATATATGTCCTTGGAAAGAGACTTGGCATTGCTTCCTGTCCAAAATTACTTCTAATTTCATTTTATTTCCTAGAAAAATGGAATAGAAGTAAAGAATAGACCAGGATAACCACTAGAATGCAAAATGCAACCTTCAGACCTGCGTAGAGATCACTGGTCAAAGGTGAGGAAGGAAAAGCTCAGGAGATAAAGAGACCAAGAGACACAGAAGAGACGTGCAAAATGCGGAGCTGCCTGGGGAAGGCAGGCCAGCCTCAGGGCTCCTCCGGAGGGGGAAGGCTAGAAGAGGTGTACCTTCACCTAAACCCCGCCTGCCTGCTGTCTTAAAATAAATAGAGTGTCTATTTGCTCACAGTGGACAAGTCTGAAGAACAAAATCAGAGTCACTGTAGAAATAGCAGTGGGTGCCCTTTCTAGCTATGTTTTTTCTAAAACACTGATTCAATGCCATGTGGCAACATAAGGGCAGATATAAACTCTTACTGTTGCCATACAGGTGTGTATACTGAAAGTAAACAATACATTTTCTTCTTGGGAGAAGTTCTTCATCACTTCTCCCATAACTACACCTTCAATTCTTTTGAATTTATTCATAATTTTAGGATAAACAAAATTTTTTTCGGGTCAAATCTTGTGTCATCTTTCCTAGATGGTACAGGGAAAGAGAGGACACTCTGGATTCTATGGGAGTTGGATTAGAAAGCCCATGTTAAGAAGCATTTATGGGGGGGAGGCAGCAAGGGGGTGGTGTTGAAGAATTCCCTCCTGGGGCATTACAAGCTGTTCTACTCACTGCTCAGAAGGCCCCTCCACCTGGTAAGAGATGATTCTTTGCTATATTTAGGGCGGATCATATCCTCAGATTACAGGCAACACTTGTTCCCTGACTATACCACCTGTGCAATCTCTTCAGAAGAATATTCCACAGAGGGTCGCAGCAGAGCTAATTTGCTGTCAAGGCTTTTGAGACCAGAAAAGCAAAGCTAGGAGCTTCAAAAGACATCAACATTTTAAGGGGACAGACTGAGTGTGACTGGGGAAGGAGAGATGAGCAACAATGCCCTGTAAATCTGATTCTACCGGTACTGCATCTCAGCCAGACTGCAATCAGTTATGTGCAAAATGATTAATCACCATCACCCTGAAATATTCAAGGTCCTCCTGACTATTCTTAGGATGAGAAAAAAGTTAATACTGAAATATGACTTTCAGGCTTTTCTTCATTCTCTACCCTTTTAATATAGTACAACAAAAAAATTTTGCCTTGGGTTTGGCTGAGTTATGGGGTTTATCTCCTAAGTGGCAAAGCTTCATTCCTTAGCCTAATCACCAAACTGAACCCAAGTTATAAGAAGCCTGATAGAGAAGGAAAAATGCTTGTTCCATACCTTAGGCATCGATTTATCAAATGTGGTAACTGCTCTCTGAGACAGGATTTCTCTTTATATTTATAGAAAAGTGGGCACTGCAGAACAAAATTAATTTAGCTAACCGGTAAATGCTGATGGCTGTGTGTGGTAAAGCCCAGTATACGTGTTTTTACAAACATGGTTGATGAGTTACAACTGGGCCAGATGACTGCTGGGGGAGTTGGGTAGAAAAGTGGAAGAACAAAGCCTTGGGACATTAACTGAGGCAAAGACTCCAACTGGGCCCCCACCTACCTTCTCTGCATACTCAGACACAATTTGCTTAATCTCGGCAGAGCAGAGTCCCACGATCTGGCCCACGGAGCTGGCGGTGACACGGCTCTGCAATCACAGGGAGGAAGTGCTCTCAAGGCCATGCCTTGAATTTCACAGCACTGGAAAATCTGAACACTATGAATATTACCAAAAAATAGATAACATCCCGGGGAAAAAACAATTTGGCTTTGCCCACATATTCATCTATGAGGAAGAAAAAAAAAAGTATCAGAACAAATCTGCAGCCTCCTCTCTACCTCCTGAGCCACTCAGTTGACTGTGCTGGATTCTCCTTGGACCTAGATTCTCCTTGAACCCTGAGCATCCTTGAAAAGTGGTTCTTTAGTTCTATGCCCCATTCCCAGGTCTCTCCTCCTGAGGGTCACTAAACAGAGCTAGCGGGAACTTGGCAGGCCTAGGACTCAGGAAGAGACAAAAGCAAATTGAGAGAACAAAAAAGTCTCAGAACGTCCCAAATGTCTCTTTACTGCCAAATGTCTCTTTACTGCCATAGGCCGTTCCTGGCCTCAAAAGTAAGGATTTTTTCAAAATACTTGGTTAAACCTTCTGAGCAGACTTTGAGCTCTTGGCATAGGAAAAGCAGAAGACAAGGCTCCTTCAGCATGGGGCATAACTTGTGGTTATGGTGAGGCAGGTCTGGCCCCTCCTCTTCCTCTCACAGGTCTACCTGGATGGCATCACCAGGCATTTATGAAAAGCTTTCCAAAGGAACCTCCAAGGAAGGGGAAGCACTGACTACTGAAGAGAGAGGGCTCTGGAGAAGGTGGTCTCTCTAGAAGACCTCCAGAGCACAGCAAGGTGGTGCCAATTCCCCATCTCCACACAGGGTCCCCCCCAAGACCACGCACTCCTTACCTCCTCGTTTGCCATGGCGGTCATCTTGGTCATCAGCGACTGAATACGCTGCTGAAAGAAGAACAGGCAGGAGTAGCAGTGATCAGTTCTGATCAGGTAAGACAGAAGCAATATGCCCATACAGGCCTTTGAGTGAAGTCCAAGGGTTATTTTCCTCAATTTTACCTCATGGGGAGACTCAAAATGGGTGAGGAAAGGAAAGGAAGGTGTGGGGGCCACTCATAGCAGCTGGCTGTTGAGAGGCACTGGCCAATTGGGAAGTAAAATTTTTCTACATATGACTTAAACAAAAACCTCAGAGCGCCTACACGGACCACATACCTCTTCAGCCGCTCGAAGCTCATCTTCTTCGTGGGCATTGGCTTTTTCTGCAGCTGACAGCCCTACGGGAAGTGCTGCTTTCTTCTCCTCAATCTAGAAGGGAAGATGTGAAAAGAGCTAAGCATTAAAGTTGGAGACTCAGCAGAGAAAGGAAAATATTGCAAAGAGGCATCCTTACGCTCTGATTGGTCTTGCCCCAATTTAAAATCTTAAATCCCTTAAGAGCTAAGGGAGTATTTTTTCAAACTGCCTATTGAGACTCATTAGTGGGACATGAAAGCAATTTAGCAGGTATTACTAGCATCTACATAAATTAAATAAAAATAACAAAAAAATTTAGGGTGCTTTGTAAGCAGTAAAGAGTTAAGTAATGCCTATTGAACTGTTATTGGGGGGGGGGGTATTTGTGTGTACTGAACCATGATGAAAAATAGAATTTTTACTGCTGAGAGTGATCCAAACAGTTTGAAAGATAAAAACCTACACTGTTTCCTCTGGTGATCAAGCTGCATGCTCTGAACCCTCAGGCTCTATACTGCATCAAACTCAAGATACCCTGGATTAACTGCTTCTCTTCAGACATGGGCTAGAAGTCTGGAGATTTAATTCTATCTCTGCCATCCACTGCTGGGTGACCTCAGGCTTACCTTTGATCACTAGATCAGGGTCACTCAAGGATCAAAAGAAAGGTTTGGACTCAGATGCCCTTTTTACTCCATCCTAATTCTGAGGTGCTTTTCTAGAACAAATCTACCATTGCCCACGGGAAAACCCTGAGCTTCCTAGCTACATGGATATACTTCCTGATGACAAGACTTCCACTTCAAATGTACCATCTGACAAGCCCGATTTGAAGACATTTCATGGGCATCTCATTTCTCCAGTCACAATCAAACTGCTTTGTTTCATAATATATCATATAGACAATCTTTTCAGACTCAAATTACATAGCAAAATAAATGTACACATCAAATTGTCTATTTACGTGCCAGATTACACATGACATGCTCAAATCTAGAAAAATTTCCAATCTGAAAAAATAAATACTGAAGAAAACAAAAAAACCTCTCATAATCAGCACATGATAAATCACCAATAAACTATTACTTCTTCTGCTGCTGCTACTATGATTTAAGACTTATCAAGTGTTGGACCATTCTAAGCCCTTTGCATTTTAGTGAGGCTGTGAGGCAAGTGCAAGAACTGACCCCCATTTGACAGATTCTGTGAATTAAAGTACAATGATAAAGTAAATTATTCCAAGTCACACAGTGAACAGTGGGCCTGGGATTTGAAATCAGCCAGTCTAGCTGCAGAACAGTGCTCCTAGTCACAGCTGGTAGGCTCTAGGGACTGAGACAAGAACCCCAGGAAGTAGAGGGAGGCCAGGGAAGCTGGACCAGGGAAGGATGGCAGGCGGACAGTGGGAGGAGTATGCCCCACTCAAGAAAATGTGGGGGTCAGTGGAGAATGAGAAAAGGTTAACAACAGATTTCAAGTAGCAGGACCCTAGTTTTCAAGATGCCACTGACCATCTTAGTAGGCACTTAGGACAGGCTTTGATGTCAGACAGACCTGGGTTCAGAGTATTAATATACTTTAGGGCTGTGTGACTTTGGATAAATCACCGAGCATCAGCCTTCTGACCTAGAAGACAAGAGTAAGTATCTTTTTCATAGAGTTGCTCAGGAAAATAAGCGAAAACAATACATGCAGAGCCCTCACCAGAGGGCCTGGAACACAGTAAACATTTGGCACCATAAGATTGTATGCCTTCCCGACTGCTTACAATTAAGGATGAATGATAAACACATACATAAGCAAAAATCTTTGAGATTCCACTGTGAAGTTAGAAATACCTATCCTGACCTACCTAGTTCTTCCACACTTGGCATTTTAGCAGAGGGGAAGCATGTAATTTATAATTTTGCTCTACCTCACTGCCAGGCTCCTGCCTGTACCTGTCTAGAGACTCAGATCTGAGAAATGCTCTGGGAGCCCTGAAAGTAGACTTTATATTCTCACTTTGGAGCTATTAGATCCCACCTGAATGACCCTGGGTGACAACTTCCAATCACCCTGCACTTCCAGCCCCAAGAAACTGCTGCTTCGTTTCCTGGTCTGTATAGGTGGCAGCCTGGAAAAACCAGGATGGAGATGCAGAAGCCCAAGGCAGCTGGCACACCCACCATCCAGCCTGCCCAGGGCCAGCACTTGGTCAGCAGCAGCCTTGCCAGTCTGTTCCTCTCAGGCTTCCTCCCAGGGGGCTGCTGCTCAGACTGGGAGTATCAGACAGAGGTGAAGTGGTCACCTCCACCTCTCAAGCATTCTTTAGACTTTTCTTACCTTCTCTGTTTTGCTCTGACGGCTAAATCCATATCTCCTGTAGGCCACAAAAAAGAGGAGTTCAATTACTATTTAAAAATCACAATAAATTCAATCAAATGCATTTTGGTCGGATTTTTACATGAAAAAAACCAAAGCCAATTTAGACTATTTGGTGACTGAATGAAATATTTTTTTTAAAGTGCCCATATCACAACATAGTCCACTATTTTTTGAATAAAGGGCCAGTCACCCTACTGTTGTATAAATATGACAAATGGAACTCTCAGATAGTAAAGTGCAATGTTTCCTTAAGTGCAATCATTATTCTTTAAATCAGAAATTACATTTCAAAGACACAGCTTAAGCTAAAAGCCGTAAAAATATCTGTAAAAACAAATGTTAAGTGTTTGCTTAAGCCAAACATGCTCTTTAATAGCTACTTCAGTGAGTTTTTATTCTCAAACATAATCCAACCATGATGCCAATGATGTTGAACATTCACATCAAGCAACCTTAAATTCAAATAAACACAAACACACTTTAGTTTAAAGTAGTTTATTTTCTAGGTCCAGTTAATCTATGCTTTTTAAAAAAATAAGTATAACAATGCAAATACCATTTAATTGAAAACAAAAAGCATAATGCAAAACACTCAGCCTCATAAATTTGTAAGTAATTTATAAAGAAATAAAATTCCACACACAACTTAAGAAGAACAAATGGAGGGCTTTGCTCTGTCCTCACTCCCTCCCTGGCTGGTAAGTGGACTGGCCTCTCAGCTGGCCTTAGGCCTCCAGCCTCACTGTCCCCACACTTCCTGCCTACTCCTTGTCCAATGGCCTGTATTTATCAACAGTAGCCTCATCTCTTAGAAGAAAGCAGGACCTCCTCAGCAGTCTCATCAAGGCTGTCTTCTGTGGCCCAGCCTCACAACAGTTTAGCCTTACCTCCAGCAGCTCACCTTATGGGCGCTTATTCCATCTACCGCCTGAACAGACACCTCTGCATACACTGAGCCACTCTCCTCTCTTCCACTCGGCTCCACAGCCTCCTTCTGAGGCATCCATGCGCACACACTCAGCCTAGGCCCACCCACTGCACCTGCTCTTCTCAGTTCCCAGCCAGCCATAGGTCTACCTGCCTGACTGCACGTGTATATCCTTCTCCTCAGGGAAATGATTCTACTTTTACATTTTGCATTTCCAACATTTGTTGAATTAATACACTAAATGTGAAAAACAAGAAGCCCAAAGCATCATCTGAACTGGTGACAATAAACCGTCATAACTGTTGAGCCCAAAACTCACTGCTGGGCTCAGTGTGCCCATCTGTTATGCATAATCTATTGACTGACAATACAGCAGACCCAGGTTATATTCTGGGTATCCAGATAAGCTCTGTAAAGGGCTTTATGGCAGAGTCTGTGAATTGGCTCACTATCTACCGCATCTTCCTATACTGCAGGGTCTGGAAAGGCTAAGTTCCATGCTCTTGCACTCAGGGTCCTGAGTGCTATTTAGTTTCTGCCAATCAGATGCATTTGCTGGAGTTTTGAATGTGTAACTGTAGACCATATAGCTTCATGGGTAGGAGAAGCGAGAGCAAAGCTCGGAACACTTTGTAATTTTAAGAAACACCGGTAACATCTCGGTAATGTAACACCTTGGTGATAAGGGTATGGGGAAGGGATTCAGCTCTCCTAACACCACAGCTTGCGAGATGAAAACATCAGTGATTGGCAGTCTCTACACCTGTGGTACTAATCGCCACAGGATCACTTCCATAAAAAGCTTCAGGAGAAGAGCAGACATGCTATTCTTTCACAGACTCACTAACTCTGACTTCTGCCTGCCTGCAGGGCATCTGCCCAGAATCTTTCCAAGAAGACTGCTAAGATTTACTTTCTTACTAAAACCGTTTCTCTCCCTCAAATACTTTTTCTTCCTCTCTCCCTTCTATTAAAGTGAGTAGCCGTCAGGTACCTAAGAGCAATTGTTCCCAAGCAAGATAACACAGTGGTCCCCATCTGGACAATAGACAATCCAGGGCCAGAGACCTGGCCAGTCCCAGCCCCTGACATGGAACTGTTAGAGAAGGCTAAAAGGAGTGCAGAAAGGATGCATCGTGTTGGCATGGACCATAGTAGAAGCAGCCTAGTTCTGGTGGCTTCACAGTGGCTTCCGAGTTTATAGAGAGCTTCCTCATTCTGACGGGAGTGGGATGGGTCCTTGTCAGCAGCTATAGCCCCAACTTCCCAAGTCCAGAGGCTGCTGGTTGACTTCCAGATAATGGAGTCACAGGTAGCAACCCTGGAGCTCCAGTTCTAATGTAAAACTCAGGAGCTGAGCCTGGCTCAGCCTACTCCCCATTTAACCTTGTAATCAATTACTTCTGCTAAACCAGCAGGGGGGTATGGTGTTCACAACCAGGCAGGGAACCATGACCAATACAGGGTCTTGCCAAAGCTTCCCACTCCTAGAAGTGTCCTTGCACCTTGAATATTCATCCTTCCTTTCCTAGGCCTGACTCTGAGGGCAGAAGTCATACCCTCAGGCAGACAGCTCTTACCTAAGGCCCAGGGACTCCGCTGGTGTTACAAACAAAGCTTAACTGTGACTCAGTTCCCCAGACTTGTACCCTCCTCCTCAAGGATAGAGGCTCTGGGAGACTTGTCACTCAACTACATTAGCCCCACACATATGAGCTTCTATGTTTGTACCACCAGAGTAGTCATTACAGCATGCACAATAACTATCTGTCGTGAGTAACCCTCTAAGCCTACCTGTTCAACAGCTAGAGCAGTGGTTCTCAACCTGTGGGTCACAACCCCTTTGCAACAATGAAAATACATCCTGCATATCAGATATTTACATTATGATTCATAACAGTAGCAAAATTACAGTTATGATGTAGCAACGAAAATAATTTTATGGCTGGGGATCAACCACAACTGGCGAAACTGTATTAAAGGGTCACAGCATTAGAGGCATTAGGAAGGTTGAGAACCACTATCCTAGAGAATCTTTTTCATTCATTTCTCTTTAAAATTTAAAAAATTGAGATAAGATTCATATAATGTAAGATTCACCATTTTAAAGTGTACAGTTCATTGGTTTTTACTGTATTCACTATGTTGTGCAACCATCACATTATCTAAATCGAGAACAGTTCTAACACCCCCCAGAAACTCTGTCACTATTAGCAGTTAATTCTAATTTCCCCCACTGCCCAGCCTGTGGTAGCCACTGATCTACTTTCTGTCTTTATGGATTTAGAGACATTTAAACATGAACATTTTACATAAATGAAAACTATTTGACAGGTGTCCTTTGGGGTCTGGCTTCTTTCACTCAGCATAGTATTTTCAAGGTTCATCCATGTTGTAGTATGTCAGTACTTCATGAATTTTTATGGCTAAATAATATCCCATTTTATGGGTAAAGCATATTTTATCAGCTAATAGATGTCTGGGTTATTTCTACCTTTTGGCAAAAATGAAAAATTCTGCTATTCAATAACTATGTACAGCTTCAGCCACTTTTATATTCCCACTGCCTGGTTCAGTGCCTGGCAAAAAGTAGGCACTCGGTCAATGTTTGCAGAACAAATGAAGAGTCCAGCTGATTTTTCTCAAGGCCTCCTTCCTCATGTGACATGGTAGCGATGCTTCCAAACCAAAGTGCGCCCCTCAGCCGCTTCCCCTTCCTCCTGTCCTATCAGCCTTGCCTTTTCCCCACAAGTGCCAGCTCTGATCTGCAGTGCCCTCTGCTTCTGTGTGTTTCTGCTTTCCTCCTCTTTAGTTCTGACTCATTAACTCTTGCTGTCTTGAGCCATCACTACCAACAGAGGTCCAGTCCTTTTATGCCCCAAGTTTCCTTCTTCATATCCTAGACCTACAACTGGTTCTTTGAATTAAAACTGTACATCCTCCACAACAGCACAGTGCAAAAGAAATATACAAGAGCCACATATGTGATTTTTTAAATTAGTAGATTGACATACCCATGTTATTCCAAATAAACATTTTTTTTTTTTTTTTTTTTT